GCGCTGGGATTCCTGCTATTGACAAAAGATCACCACGGCAGTAAACACGGAGTGGGGAGCCAAGGTGCAAAAGGAAAAATGACAATCTGACGCAGTCCTTTCCACAAACAAAAGATGGGAAGACGTTGCAATAATGTACCTAAACAAAGCCTCCGTAAAACTCGAGGTACACTTGAAGAAAAAAGGAAAGGTGGCGTTATTTCAAGACTGGGAACATCTTTAGCGAGCAGGATAACCATTCACTCCATGGTTCTCTAAGAAAACAGCAAAAAATGGCCCGCCGCCAAGAACAACTAGGGTCTAAAAGCCCACCATGGAATATCCGATCTATTTTTCAATTCATTTTTGACAAGGTCTGATTTCAGAGAATGTTTCATACAACATTTTATTTGTAGGCAACAGGGACAGGGGTCTCTTGGAACTACATGTACATATGTATTTTTTTTTTTATTTCTGAAGGATCAGAGAGCCAGAGCTTTTTCAAACTATTGTAAATTAGACTTGACACATCATGAGGTCATAGATCTATTTGTTTTTGTCAATCTTTACAAATGTTAATTCAGGGGTGAGGTAAAGAGATGCAATTCAAAACATGAGTTAATGAATGGTGGAAGCAAGGTACCTTTTTCCTGATAATATTTTTCTTGTATCCTCTTCACTCTCTTTATACTTATTTAAATACTGGCTTTCGTGATAACATTCTTAGTTTACGCGCTCCGTAGTTGCACACGGTAGACAAGAGTGGGGAGCATTGAATTTTTTTTTACTGGGTATCTTTCTGCTTGGTAGTTGCAGCCCTCTCATCCCAGCTTGGCCCTGACAAGAAGATTCGAAGTCTGCTTCATAAATTATCTAAATTGAGTCAAAAAGGGTGTAAAAACACATACATTGAAACATTTGAGAGGCAGGAGTTTTTTTTATTTTTAAAGCTTGATGAATGCAATAAAATTATTCCTACAAGGTGCCCACACCCTAAGAAGTATTTTTAAAAGTCATGTCATGTGTCACAGATAAAACAAAAATTAAGCCATGTAAAAACACTCTAACCTTCAAAACAGAAAGAAAAAAACTACAACCTACCAATAAAAAAAAAACCAACAGTTAAAATAACATTTAGAGTGTTATTATCTTCATATAAAAGTATTTATTGATTTCCTGGACAATGTTGTGTGTATACACAAAAGGCAAAATATCACATCGAATAACACAATTGAAAGACTGTCTGTTTCTGAGGGAATTAACAATTATAACATTCTTTCTCCTTCACCTCCACCTAAAACCATTTAATTGCAACAAAGTATTATAAAACACTGGCGTTTGTGGTATTGTGGATAGTATCTATAGTCGCTTCCCTGTCTCATGTGGGAGACCTGAGTTAGGACAAATCCTTTATCGAGTGTATCTCAGTGTTTCTGCTGAGATACTGTATCCTTTTCATCCCAGGTTGGCCCTGACAGGCAGGGTCGGAAGTCCTATCTCTTAATTGTGTCAATGAGAACGTAAAAACACTTTCTACCTCTACATTATTCAAGTCAAAAAATGAAAATTTGGAAAAGTCAGTTTTATAGAGTCAAACTTGTCCAAGCAGCCACCTTTAAGTGGGCAGTCCTCTTAGTGTCGTTGTGAATACAAAAAAAAAATACAAGGGAGCAAGTAGAAAGTGGACATTTGTACAGGTGAATGATTTGGACAGAGTGGATGTGATGTGTACACGTATTAACAAAGATATTAAAATGGAAGCCAACAGACAAAAAAATTTGAATGAAATGTACTAAGAATTAAACAGAAGGAAAGAGAAGTATAGAAGAGGAGAATTATTAGGCAAGAGAATATAATACTTTTATTATTATAAGGATCTTGTCCATGCCCTGTATCATCACCATGGCTTGGCAAGACAAAGGAACTGAAATTCAAGCCCACAGAGTCTAGCTTCCTCCCTTTTTGTTTGCAAATTAAGACTTTAAAATAAACAGGGACAAAAGTGATCAATTATTAAAATTCCTGTTAACAAGAGACTATGCCCACAAATAACCACATGATGCTATACCATGAGTATAGACCTAGGCTACAAATGGTTGAGGAGGAATTTTACATGATCCAATCAGAGAGGTTCATTTCATATCCATAGGACGTGGGGAACTCTGTGCCACCTCTTTCCAAAAAGGAAATTAAGTCGATAATCCGATCCGCACGCTTTGCATAGCAGTCTGTCAAAATGATTTTTTTTGGGGAAAAATACTGAAAGCCTCAAAGAGATTTTCACACTAGAAGTAAAGTATTCTAAAATGTGAAGAATACAACCCCGGGGGTACAAAATGACCCCAGGGCGTACGGATAGGGTTAAATTAAATTCTATCAGTGTAATGATGAAGTGTGCAGTTGATGGACTGTTCATGGCCTCCTTTAGATTACTTCGCTTGGGCATACCGATAGGGTTAAACTAAATTCTACCAGTAATGATGAAGTTTGCATTTCATGAGACTGTTCATGGCCTCCTTTGGATTACTTGCTGCAAAATAGCAAAATTTTACCAAAATAACGAAGAAAGTGTGACCTTTTTATGGGAACATCTAGGTCACCTTCCAGACAACACTGCCTAAGTGAAGGATTAGGTGAATGACGAGATAGAAAAGGAAAACTAGCCATCTTCAGGTAAATTTTACTCCAATTTATACATTATCATAGTGTAATCAGGGGAACATTTTGAAGATGAAACACTGAGAGGTATTATTTTTTGTTCAAACTCTTGGCCCATGCTCAGATAATTAAATAAATTGTTTAAAAAGCACTTTTCTAGTTCACATTTTTTCCATTTTACAGTACAAACTTCGATTTTATTTTGTCTCAGTTGCAAATAACTAGTTTTCTGGACATTGACAGTTTTATTCAATCATTTTATATTTTTATTATAAATAATGAAGTTAGCATATGTGATAGACTGTTCATGGCCTCCTGCATTTGTTTTCATTTCGAAGTGATTATTCGGACTCGAGTCCGAATATGAAAAAATGTTATTCGGACTCTGATTCTTGTCCAGCATGACAGCACTTCCGACTTCCTGTGACTCGTGAATCCGGCTTCCTGTCCTGCCTCACTCGTGACTCACCTCAGGCTGGGCAGAGACCGGGATCACTTCGGGCAAAAAGGTTTGTGCAGGAGCCCAGTTTTAATCTTATGATGAATTTGAGGCCGGCCTGAAAAGTTAGAGCGCTTCTAATAAATGTTTATTTGTTAAGAGGTCATGAGAAGCAATTAAAGATGGCTCGTTAGCGTGTGTCGGGGTCGGATGGGCGGCCTGCACATATGTGGCTGTGTGCGTGTCGGGGAGGGTGGAGGGGGGGGGGGGGGGGGGCCCCTTCCGCCCCGGGTTTTAAACCCCCAAACCCCCCCGTCTTTTTCCCCCCCGGAACTGATCTTTATTACAATAATAAACCAGCCTAAGATCTACGTAATGAATTGTGCGCTGGTCTATGGAAATCAAAAGTTGCCGGTATGCTTCAGCCTCTAACACAAGCCAACAACAATTTTTTCTTGGTAAACAATCGATATGACACAGGCTTGTGTATTTGAACGAATCGGTCTTGTTTTTTTTTTTACACAGCTCATAATATGCAGGGGCCAGGTGGTCTTCAATTTTACCTTTTTCTAACAAAAAAAGTGGGAAACGTGGGGGGGGGGGGGGGCGTATCAATGAGGCGGCGGGCATTGGATCGGCAGATAAGGTGTGGGGGAAACAAAAAAATGGCGGAAAATTGGAAGCACTGAACGTTAGATCTATAGAACAAAGACACTTCCTTTTTTCCGGACCCGAGTCCGAATAACATTTTTCCATATTCGGACTCGAGTCCGAATAAGAAATTTTTTTATTCGGACTCGAGTCCGAAGATGAAAAAATGTTATTCGGACTCAAGTCCGAATAACGACGGCCTTTCATTTAGTTTACTTTACTGATAAATACTTTACTCAACATAATCTCTCTGTTGCAATTCAATCATTAACACACATCACGGTTGTCCTATGGTCATAAGACACTTTAGAAGGCAGATCTATTTCTATCATCATTGTCATCGATCATTCTGGAATTCAAATAGAGGAATATATATAAATATATATAGATCTATATCAGAGAAATCAGCATCCACCTACGGTCTACAGACTGAGACTGTGGTCTACAGTCTTCATAAGTTTGTGCAGTGAGTTGTGAGTAGGGAGTAAGGTATGAGTAGGGCACTCCTGTAAAACTGCGGTCCCGCTAGATCTAGTAACTAAATCACACAAGCAAAGACTAGGCTACTCTGGATAACGATAGGGCATACAGATTTAAATATATTTTTGGTATCGATGTTTTACCAGTCGATCTAGCCTATGACCTATGAGCAGTAAACTTTCACTTGTATTTTCAAGGGCCATTTTCAAGGCCAGGGGGGTTTCAGGGGGGCATGCCCCTGAATTTGATCATAATTTGATGTTTTGCAATAGCTTCAATTGGCTATCTCTCCATAGATCTAGGCCTATCGGCACGCGCACCAAAAAGTAATCGTTTAGAACCAGAAGTAATCGTTGGTGGCGTCAAAACAAGTGTCCCCAAACAGGACCGCAATTGTACAGGAGTGCCATGTGTAGGATATAAATATAAGCTAAAAACAGGCTACAGCTAAAGACACTCTATAGGCCCAACTAGAATTTCCTAAATTATAATTTAATAAGAAAGAAGTAGATCTAGGCCTAGAAAATCTAGATTCTAGATCTAGATATCTAGCTAGATCTAGATCTAGATCTATCTAATCCAGCCTAGAGGCCTGATGTAAGGCTGTAGAGTCGTGATGGTTAAGTTAGACACGCGCGTGTTTCAGTCGCAGAGACAGAACACAGAAGAGCCACAACTTCAACAAGTGAACAGAAGAAAAAAGGGAGCCATAGACATAGCACAGAATAGCAGGGACTTGGGACTGGCCTGCCTGCTGTGGACTGTGGGAGTGGGAGTGGGTGTGATCACTCACCTTCCAAGATTTTGATCTATATTCTGCTTCACTCGGAGGAAGTTCTTTCGCAAGTTCTCCTTCTTAAACATCTTGCATACACTAATCCACAGAAATCACACGTCCTTAACAACCATGCTGAAATCCTAAAATGAGTAAATGACAACAAACTACAATAACAATCACGGAGAGGCCCGGGACTGTGTCGAGTATCAGGATAATCGGGAAGAGCAGCCCATACCAGGAAGTGGAAGCAGACAGCGAACATTACCATTATAATTTCTGGGTTGGATTAATGTGAAAAATAATATACTGGTTTTTCCAAAGTGCGTTTGTATAAAATGCTAGTAAATTGGTCTAAAAATAGCTGTTTACTTACAATCAGTGTATTGTAACTAAATTTTAAAAATGGAATGGTACCTTTTATAATTACTGAACTGGAAAAGTAAAACAGATACTAGTCCTACCCAGCTTTCTTATACATATTTATAAACCTTATGTTGATTGGCTGAATGTCCAATCCTCTTGAGTGATGTATGTTCCTGTTTCATCTTTTCACTTCCGGTTTCGCTTTTTTAGACCTCGTTTGTTTTTACAGCATGGCTGCCACACAAAGTGTTGTTGACAGTATTCTGTCAACAACAGATGACAGTAAATTTAAGACCATTCAAGTGGATAGTGCTGAATTAATTGAACTGGATGAAGGCAATTTACTAGCAGTCAATGAAAACAAAGTCGACACTAAAGAATTCAGGTAGGTTTGAATGCCCTCAAACGCAAGCCTCCAGACTAGACTATGACTAGAGATCTAGATCTAGATTTCTAGATAGATATATCTATATCTAACTCTCTAACTCAATACTCAAACTCAAACAAGATTAAGACAGCAGTAGACTTCTCGACTGACACTGAAAGTACACTGTCTCAGTGTAACACTAACACTAATATTAACAGTGACACTTGACTTGAAGTTTAGAACTTGTCAGACTCTTCTTAGAGTTAAAAGTTAAGGGAAGAGTTAAACCTTACCTGTTACAACTTGTGTCATGGACCTGCTCAGTCAGAAGTTACCCTTTTCTCTCGGTAGCGTTAATTGCGGAAGGACTTCCATAACGAGCAACCACCCAACAAACACATGATATGAATAAGGAAGAAACCTAACCCTACCCCTTATCCATCTGTTCTTATCTATACTATCTCATGTCATAGTGGTCTCTTGTTACGGAAGTCCTCCTACTTAATTGCGACGGAGTGACCCTGTGACTGTGAGTTACAACTAATGCGGCGTTAATTGCCGCAGAGTGAATTTGTGACAAAGAAATAAGGGAATGTCTAGGTACACGGTAACCGGCAACAGGGCATGTAGTCTCAGTGTCACCAGAGACTTATATAATTAAAATTAAATACTCTCTGGTGTCACGTACACGGTAACTGCACAGTTCAGAACTCCCAAGTTCAGTTTTTGTCATCCGGTGTTGCCTTCTTCCCCACCCCTCCCCCGACTGTACCTTTAAAAAAAAAAATTATCGGCTGGATTGTACTTTACCGGACCACCCGTCTCGGCCCGTGATTACTACGCACGCCTAGCCTAACTACGCACTCATAGTACTCTGCGTGCGGACAAAAGGTAGTTCCGCGGGCGACTAGCGAAGTCAGCGGCGACTGGCGAGGCGAGGTGAGCGAGAGGTGGTGGTGGTTGAGAGTGGGCAGGGGATTTAACTTTGGTGGACCACCGTGTATCATACCAGCAGTGGGGTGGGGGGGGGGGGGCTTGCCCCCCCTGGCAACAATAAATTTAAAAACACTCACACACACACATATAAACAATAGCATGATAAGTCGCGAGCAGGGCCAATGGGGTTGCAATTATGCAAATGAGCTCTCGTGCCCATCTCTAGCCCTCCATTGTACTTTGCCGGACCAGGAGTAGGCCTAGGGCCTAGGCCAAGCCAGCAGAGTCGCGAGCAAATAAGAATAGTGGACCACGTGATTAGATTGACCAATTAGCCTCAAGGTGTCAGGGTCATGGGTCAAAGGGCACAGTGGCACAGTCGTGATGACTGAAAAACCCGGTAAGAGACGGCAGTCGATTGCTGGCAGTTGAAGAGGGAGGACGTAGAAAACTGAGTAGGAGAGTGAGTAGTCACTGAGTAGGGGAGCTCGGACACGAGGAACAGCGGGCCACTAGGCACCAGGGGCGCCACAGCGAAAGTAGTTCCGATCGGTGGTCCGGTAAAGTACAATCTTACCACTTTGGTAACCCCAACCGGTACTCACAAACAATGTGATGCACAGGTTCACTGACCTGTCACGATGGCGAGCCCGACAAGACGCTTGACTTATTTTTTCAGCAAGTGACAAGCACGGGACACATATTGATTTATTTTCATTCTGGTTACCGTGTACATAAATACTAAGACTAGGTGAGACTAGGTGCCCAGTTACCGTGTCATGTAGATACTGAGACTAGGTGCCCGGTTACCGTGTACGTAGACACTCCGAAGAAATAATGTAATAGAGAAAGAAGTTAAAAAGAATAACAAACACACACACAGATACATACAAATACACAGACACACACATACACGTAACACTCACTCACAAAAACGCACACCGCACATGCTTGTGGCCTTTATACGCGGGAAGTGGCTATTCTCATCCGGGGTGAGAATAGAAAAACGATCTACATCTCACCCCGGGTGAGACTTGCCAGCGTAGGCTATTCTCACCCGGTGCGAAACAAGACCTGCTTTTCCTCATTTTGGAATACTGTCTATCGGTGTGGATGATCAAATTGATAAAAGCCAAGAAAAAATTACGTTATAGCACAAAAGTAAGCTAATTTGATCGTCTTCAAAGATGCCATAGCTATTTCACTTTTTGAATCGAGCCGAACTACGCGGGTTGCCATTTTGTTTTGCCCGGAAGTTCTCGCAATATCTACTCCTCCCCTCTCTCTCTCTCTCTCTCTGTCTCTTTCTGAATACTGTCTATCGGTGTGGACGATCAAATTGACCAAAACAAAGTTAAAAAATGATGTTAAAACACAAAAGTAAATTAATTTGGTTGTCTACAAAGATGCTACGGCTATTTAACTTTTCGAATCGAGCCGAACTACACGGGTCGCCATTTTGTTTTGACCGGAAGTTCTCGCGCTACTCCTCTCTTTCTCTCTCTCTCTCTCTCTCTCTCTCTCTGCACTGCCCACAGACAAAATTGTACGCTTTTAGTAGGCTACAGTTGTAATGGAACGTTTGTTCACTGCACAGAATTCTACAATTTTTCTGTTATCACAGTGTAGAATTCTGTGGTTTAGGGTGAACGCAAAATTTGTTGGCCTAGATCTAGGCTATAACAGTGAACGCGCACCGGGTGAGAATAGCCAAAAGACTCGCCTGCACTATTCTCACCCCGGGTGAGAATAGAGGTGGCCAAATAAATTATTATTTTCACCCGGTCTGAGAATGCAATGGATTTTTATTCTTAGGCCTACCTGGGTGTTGAGAACGGGTAGACCTGCACGTGAATTGTAAAAGTGACTGTTCGTGACTTGCCCCAGAGCGCTGGCCGATTTTTCTAGGCTGCCGCGGGGATTGTTAAATTTTTTCATTGAAAAAAATCATGAGAGTATCAGTATGCATGCAATCTTCACCAAAACCCTAGATAAGTGTATATTCTGAATTCATTCAGAAAGGAATTCTGTTGCCAGAGTAATATGTTATCAAAAATAATAGCCTAAATCTAAAACTGAAAGCTGTTTAATTAAATAATGTTAGTAATAGTTTGTCATTGTAATGTTATTGGCATAATTTGAACAACACAAAAAACGTGTTATCCCTAACAGAACCCTAGGCTTATTTTTTTCTTAATTTTGATTGGTTAAACCATTCAAGAGTAAAATTTTCCATTACAGAACCAATAATAAATAGCAATAAAAGGTGACGCTATTTGCCCAAAAGATTTTAAGGTTTTCCCCCAAATCGACAATTATCACAATAGTCACCCCCTGCGCTCGAGAGCTGGCCCGCCCGTTGGCGATTTTAGTCGCTTCGGGCACTCAGCGGAGTGAGAGAGTGTGACGAGTTTTGTCGCCTGGAGCACTTAGTGACTCCAGTGACAGCAGGGGTCCTATTGCCCGAAATGAAATAAAAAGGGCGGAAACGAAATAACCGGGTGAGAATAGTAGGCTGTCGTTATTCTCACCAATAGTATCCATTTTATTTTCAACCCGGGTGAGAATAATATCCAGTTTTTCTCACCCCGGGTGAGAATAATCATTCAGTTATTGTAATATTTCTTGCCTCAATATTTGGGCTGTCTATAATGTGTACGTGTACAGATAAAGTCAACTCTACTGTACAGAAAGTCTTTGTGGATTTTTGCCACAAACTTTAGGTTCGCCTTTTCAACTGTTTCAGATGATTTCTTCCTAAAGGCAACAAAATTTTCATTTTTAAATTTAGCAAAAGCTTTATCGAATTCATCGTAAGATTTGAATGCCTGCTCTAGAAAGCCTTCCTTGTCAGGCGGAGATTAGATACTAGGACCACCACATTGGGAAGCGAAGCGGAAATGGTAGAGATCTAGATGATGTTAGATTGTAATCATCAACATAAAAGAGCTCTGTGTTCCCTCTGTTGCGATTAATGCTGCCTGAGTTGTCACAGCGTCACTCTGTCACAATTTTAACACTGCCTTTTCTCCCTGACTCCTCTCTGTATGCAAGATAGACTGAGTCTGAGAGGAAAGTCACAAGCCAGTGACACCCTCTGCCTCTGGGAAAAATAAAATAAGTGAGAAGAGGAAGTAAAGGGTGGTGGTTGCGGTTGTGACCTATACACTGCTAGAACACAAGAAGACGTATGTAGTACGAAGCAATAGCGTGTATGCGAAATTGATCATGTATATGTCTAGATAAGGTTTGTTTGTTGTGTTTTTTTATTTGTCAAGTTATGAAATGTGTGCATTCATAGCATCACTCCACTAATTTTGTTCAAGGACATTTTATTTCCTTTTTGTTATTACAGAAAAAGAACAGAGGAAATACTTTTGTCAAGCACGAGAGATGCGACACAATGTCTATTTAACTCATTGTGGCAGGTAGGTTCAATCTTTATTTAGTTTTGTTTTGAAATTTGAATAAAATCATTTATATAATAATTCATTTGACAAAACCGTTCGTAAAAATTGATTTTTTTTTTTTAAAGAGAAAAACAAAGAACAAATCTGGAAAGTGGTGTAGCGTTGTTGGGTTTTTTTCAAAGTAGATTTAAATTTCCTTTCTCTGTCCTTTTTTTTTATATTTTCAACATGGAAATCCGTAAGCAATGTTTGATCATTTTGTCCAAAATATTTTAGTCGTAGAGACTGGGTCTAAACCGGAGCAAGTAGCTGGGGGGGGGGGGGGGTGTCTCCAATGTCTTCAGTACTGTTTTTTTTTTGCATTTTCAAGGTCTAGCGCCCGTAAAGTATAGGAGATCAATTTTTCTGGTACCGCCCAGCACTATCTATTGTACATGCACCTCCCTGCAGCCTTTCTTTATTAATTGGGCAATCCTCAGCAGTCCTGAGATGCATTCCCAAGTCATCCTCGAAGCATAGGCCCGTAGCATTTGGACCTCCAAGCAAATGTAAAAATAGATCTGGCTTCAGCATGGACATTCATTACGTGTTATTGGAGTGCACTCAAGTCCAGGATTCTGTTAGAGGAAAGGTAAAACCACCACCGGAGCGGGACAAGGAGAAGAGCCTCTCCAGAAGACAAAGAAGAATATTGTCGCTATTATGGTGCAAAGTGTAGCGAAAAGTCCTGTCCAACAGTCATACCTCGATGGGATAGGCTCTACCCCAGACGACTCGTGCCTGAGATCGTGTGGTGTTAGTCCTGATGACTTGCGATGCTCTCACTATTCGAGTGCCATCACGGAGACCTGTACTGTGAACCACTGCTGCAAAACAATACCCAGCCCGGACCAGATGCACTATTTACGGACAAAACGCAAAATAGGTCGTCGCATATCTGACTGCCTGCAGCAGGCTGCCGCCCTCCGGACAAGGCCAGCCGTAGAAGAAGAAGCATAGCTCCACAAACTCTGTTTAGAAATAGAAGCTGATAGTGCAGTTCACCTCAGAGGCAAGCTCTCTCCTTAATGCTAACGAGGCTTTTCTCTTTTTAAAAAATGTCATGTTTTGCATCTAGTTATCATCACACTTTATCCTTTATCCAGAAAGCAGTACTGTTGGAGACAAGCGTTAAATAAAAATTCAGATGTCCGACCTCTCAGATAACCTTAAACTAATGTTAAACCTGCACGCTCTTAACTGTCCAGAAACTTGATAACTATGCATTTATTTTCTACTTTTGCTTCTTCTTCAGCTTCCAGTGGAGCAAGTAGAAGGGGCTTATGTCGTGAAGGTGAGAATCTTTTGTTTTGTTTTAATTAAAGTCGATGGGTCTATTAATTCTAGTTCAAAATATAATAATAATTTCTAATTAGATTCTGCAATATTTCATTTTCCTAACCTCCTTCAACGAAAATAGAGTTACCTGTTCTCAGTTCTCTATTCTGAAATCACTTTGACAATTATGCAAGTATATTATATTCAGTTCCTTTGAATTTTGATTTTCTCTTTTTTTGACCTTTCTGCATTTTCTGTTATTTTTGGACAATATATTTTGAATCTTTTGTGTGATTTACTTTTATTACCCTTCTTTCTCGGCATATAAAATTAATTTGAAGTAACATTTCCTCATGTTTTAGATTTATTTGTAAAGTTATTTTCACGTTACCTTTGTTTCGAAGTGTAATTCTTCTGAGTTGACATTTCATCTGAGTTTAAGATCTCTACTCATTTTCATAACATTGAAAATGTGACTTCTTCTTAAGCTCACTCTTTGTTAAGAACTCTTTTTAAAGATGGAGCTACGACAAGAAAGCACTGAGGTCGCGATATATTGAGATAGAATAAACAGACTTACATAGACACGCAGAGACAGACACACCAGCGGAAACACACAGTACAGAGAGATGGACACAGACACACACACACACACACACACACACACACACACACAAACACTAAAGACACACATAAACCCAAACCTTCCTTTCTATCCTTCCTAAAAGAAAGCAACAAAAAAACACATTTCAGTCAGCCTTACAGTAGTCCCAAGCCAGCAATCACCTTCGGTTTGGACGTAAGAAAGGATTGGTTTGTTGTCCTTTATTTTTATCTCTCCCGCCTAAGATATCCACCTGTCTAAGACAACCATTTTTCTCCTTTTCTTTCTTGGGCAATTTTGACTATATACTTTCTCTTATTAGGTTCACACTCTGTACTACTGGTCTGAACAAGATGTAGATTCCAGACAACATGTGTTTGACAAGTAGCCTCTGATACTACAGAGCATGATTTTTATCCATTTAAGTACACACACACTTACATACCAAACACAGAGAGAGGAAGAAACAGAGAGGCAGAAGGCTCAGCTATAAATACATGTAATTTGCCATCAGAGGAAAACTTTTCAAATACAGATCACATAGTAGCATCAGTTCCCTTGATATGAGGCAGTCCAGGCTATTTAACATAGGACAGCATTACAACTCTGTTATGCAGTCAGCGCCACTATACCACCAACTTCATGCTCATCCAAAGACTGACAGTTTAACAATGTTTGACTGAAAGTACATTTTAAGTTGCAGGCTTTAAAAGCTTTCATAATAATATTTTGTCTTACTTTTTTTCAGTTACCTGAACCTAAGACATGGCTCCCAAGAGAAAAACCGGTAAATGTTGGATGTTTTTACTGTTCCTATGTCACTTAGAATATGTACCAGTACCGAGTTTTCACTTGAAATGTTCAAGCTTTCAAGAGTTATTTTTGCTAGTTCTTAACATTTTTTAAAGAAAATTGTAGTCGAATTATATGAATTGCGGGGCATCGTGGGAAATTTCCAATATTCTTGTCTTGGATTTAAACATTGTTCTTTAACTGGTTATCTGTTCCATCTCAAATGTAAAGGATATTTTATATGTAGAATACAATTTTATTTCCCTACACTCATGACAAAGGTCATGACAATTAATAATGCAGCTACAAGGGTTTTAGTTGTAAAAATGATGTGAATGTGACTCAACAGTATAGCAGTAGTCTTTATGGATTTGGGATACTGAAAAGTTATATTGGTGTGCTGGTTTTCTCTTTTTCATATGACTATGGAGATTGTTATTTGTAGTAGAGAATTTGATAGCTGTATCATATGTAGATATTATTTAGCAAATGGTTAGTTCCTTTCAATTATTTCAGTGGACAATAGTAAGGGAGTGAGTTCATCAATGTTTCCTGTGCCAATTGTCTGGAATCATCATATTATCATAACCTTGCACACAGATTGAAGTATATCTGTTACAGGGCTGTTTTCATCAATGTTTCCTGTGCCAATTGACTGGAATCATCATATTATCATACCCTTGCACACAGATTGAAGTATATCAGTTACAGGGCTGTTTTCATCAATGTTTCCTGTGCCAATTGACTGGAATCATCATATTATCATACCTTTGCACACAGATTGAAGTATATCAGTTACAGGGCTGTTTTCATCAATGCCTCCTGTGCCAATTGACTGGAATCATCATATTATCATACCTTTGCACACAGATTGAAGTATATCAGTTACAGGGCTGTTTTCATCAATGTTTCCTGTGCCAATTGACTGGAATCATCATATTATCATACCTTTGCCCACAGATTGAAGTATATCAGTTACAGGGCTGTTTTCATCAATGCCTCCTGTGCCAATTGACTGGAATCATCATATTATCATACCCTTGCACACAGATTGAAGTATATCAGTTACAGGGCTGTTTTCATCAATGCCTCCTGTGCCAATTGACTGGAATCATCATATATATCATACCCTTGCCCACAGATTGAAGTATATCAGTTACAGGGCTGTTTTCATCAATGCCTCCTGTGCCAATTGACTGGAATCATCATATATATCATACCCTTGCACACAGATTGAAGTATATCAGTTACAGGGCTGTTTTCAAAATGTTTACTGGTGTCTGGTGTAGCAGTAAGGTGCTTTACTGTCTACGCAGGAGACCCAAGAGTGACTCCTGAGTATGGAGAATTCCTTTATTGAATATCTCTGTCTTTCTGCACGGATATTTTATCCCTCTCAGCCCATGTAGGCCCTGACAAGCAGGGTTGGGATCCTGCCTCCCAAATGATCTCAATTGTGTCAATTGGAGCTTTAAAAAAAAAGCAAACTACATTTAGAAGGAAAAAAAAATGATTTCTAAATGTCTCTTTACAGGTGCCCAAGAAAAAGCCACTGACGAAGTGGCAAGAATATGCCAAGTCCAAAGGTATCTTGAACAAGAAGAAATCAAGGATGGTCTGGGATGAATTATCTCAGGTAGGCATTCTTAATTATATTCATATAATCCATTTCAACTTTACACTTTTTTTTTAAATTTCTATTTTAAACATCAAATATGTTTTTATGAGTTATCTCCTTATTCTCTTGACTAAGTTCCAAATCAGCTTTTACTTTTCTTAAGAAATTGTGAGTAGCTATAATTACGATACTATCCTCTTAGTTTTGTTATATTTACTTTTGTATTTGTTTTGAGAAACAAGTCATAAATTGGGAGCTCTCGCGGCCTAGAGGTTAAGGTGTTGGCCTCTCATTCAAAGGTCCTGAGTTCGAATCCGGGTAGCGACATAAATTTTCTTCTCGAAAATTGTATGTTTTCACCTCCATTCCTGCTCTCTAGCAATGTTCTGTCATCTGTTTTCTTCTCCTCTTTCTACCCCCACCTCCTTTGCCCCCTCTTCTAGGCTCCTGACTCTTTCTACTGCTACTCCTTATCTCCTTCTGACTGCTGTCTTTCAGCCACACCCCTGATCTTCTGGTAGGAAAGATCTACACCTAGCCTTTACGGACAAGGGAGAAAAATCTCGGAGAGCGTGTGTGCAAGTTGCACACGTTAAAGATCCCTTGGTGGTCTAAAATCGATAAGAGTAGGCTTCGGCCGCCACCCGCGCAAAATTCAAAATCTCCTACCTACTGAAAAAATTTAATGTGTCCTGCGCGCTCATATGACCTTATGCAGTTGCAAGCGCGGTAAAACACTTACCACAAAACAAAAAAAGCCTTAGATTTGTGCATCTGAGAATGTTTTAGAAATTGATGTAGTGTTTTAACCTGTTGTTTGCTTTTGTGTTTTCAGGAATACAAACCACGCTGGGGTTACAAAAGGGCGAATGATGATACACAGGAATGGGCCATTGAGGTTCCAGACAATGCAGGTCAGTAAAGCACAGTGCACAGGATGTTATTGTATGGTTTTCTATCTCAATAGTCTTCTCTGGTTACTGACTGAATTGAAACTCCTTTATTGTTTCTTCCTGTTCCAATGATTTTTGTTGACATTTTTATTTCCCTGCGGTTTTGAATGTTTTTCTTGGTATCCTGTTTTCTCTGTTGATTAAAAAGCAGACACTTTTAGTATTCTCATTATGGAACAGTCTGTGATTATCTTTACTTGCATTTTTTTAGGGTGAGGAGTTTTTTGTTTGGTTGGGGGTTTTTTTGTTTTGTTTTTTTTTTTTTTTTACGTAACGTCCTCAAATGTGGGTGGTTGGTGGGTGCTCTGGTGTGGTTTGCTCCTTCATTCCTATCAACGTCTATCGTCCTGATCCCCTCCTTCTTTTTTGTGTTTGTTACTCTCTTGTAACACACCTCTAATCTTCGGCACTTATATGGCCATACTGTGTTGCAAGTGCTTTAAAACTCTTACTAATACTAAAGCGTCCTCAAAATCTGCCGCGTTTGATTCTCACTCAAAAAGATGTGTCTTGAGTTTGAACATTGAAAAAAGAAATGGAAAAGTTGGGATCAATTTGGACATTGCTAATAAAGCTTGTAATAAATTTATTGTGGTAACGCTTTAAGTGCTCCCTTGCCAATCGTGTTCAAAATGGTGTCGCTTTCTCTTTTCTGGGCTCAGAATTGGTTGGGTTTTTTTACAAAATCAATGCCTTTCCATTTCCAGAAGTCTTATGTAATATTTTTCTTTTGTCTTGGAATAGATCCTATGGAAGATCAGTTTGCCAAGAGAAAGAATGCAAAGAAAGAGAGAGTTGCAAAGAATGAACTTCAGCGATTGAGGAACATTGCAAGATCACAGAAAAGTAAAGGTAAGTTCGGACTTTTTCAGTTTGTTTTGTCTGCTTTTGATTCTATTCTGTGCACCCCTTTCCTTAGTGAAAAAGTGTAGTTTCCAAATGAAGAAGTCCGGTTTTTTTTCTTTCATTTTTTTAAAAACTCTTCTCTAAAAAATGATCAGTTTATGTTTTCAGCAGTCCTGCCTCAGAATTTTGTTGCATTTTCTTGTTTTTTTCCTGTACTTATCAGTTCCTGGAGTGGGTCTCACCCCCACGGAGAAACCGTCAAAGGATCAGCTGTCAAAGGCCCTAGCTGTGGCGCACAAGTCGACAGCATCTATTGGAAAGTTTACAGACAGGCTTCCCAAGGAAAAACCTTCAAGGTTCACGGGCAAGAAACGGAAAGTATGTTGGCTTTGTTATTGTTACTTTCCTTTGTCTATTGTGGGTGTTATTTTCGCAGTTCTTAGTTTACCGTATTAATTATCGTTTATGCTCTTTTCTTTTTCTTATCATACAATGAGATAAATTAGGTTGCATATTATGCTTATTAAATTGTTTCAGGTTCCATTGGCTGTCCAGTAACAAAATTTGTCTATTTTGGAGATAAATGAGCCATAAATGAAGCAATATCTTTCAGCAGAGTGGATCATGTGTCTATGTTTATGGTTTTGAGTTTCTACTTAACCCAATCTATAATTTAATAATCTTAGCATACTGAAGGTTCTAGTAAGTCTTGTAAATATTTGTTGAGGAAATTGTCGTTTGAGATTCATTATGCTTTGGTAAAAATATTAAACTGCAGTTGCAATTTCCCAATACGCCCAAGGAGAAAAGCGGACGTCCTGGACAGTGTTACTATAATATTTTAATAAAAAGCAAAAGGAAGGGGGGAGGGGAGTGGTCATTTATACTGTTGATTGTCTTGGGCAGCTGGCAGTCAGAGCAGGTTCGACTGTATTTCCCTCGATGCCTTCATTGACATCTGCCATAGGGTCTGCTGGGATAATAATAATTGTAAAGAGTGTGGATATGCGCTATATAAATACATTTGTTAATTATTATCTTTTGAGTTCTTGAAGATTTGATATTTACGCCCTTTTATTGGGCTGGGGCTCCTTCCTTTTGTGAAATCTGGCCAATTATATTGGCAAGCGACAAGAAACAAATTGTGTATAGACTCAAGAGCTTCCATTGTAGAATTTCAAGTGCTTAGTGTTTGTAAAGGATAATGATAAAAAAGACACATTTTGGACTGTTCAAATGTATGACTATGAGGACTATCTTTGAAAAAGTTTTATTTCAAAGTTTTTCATTTGTGTTCCACTTTTTTGTTTGTTCATTTCTTATTTCTATTGCAATCATTGTTTTGGAATTGTGTAAAATGTATAGTTTTCTATTAATTTGGGGGGTTGTTGCTGAGATTGGTGCTACATGTGTATGTTTTTCTTCTACATCTACAGTTTGAACCATCAATTGGCAATCTGAAATCTGAGAAGGAGAAGCAGCTCAACCTGATTGAAACAAATGCTAAAAAGCTGCCCAAAATTGACATGGCTAAAGCTACAAACAGAGCACTGAGACAAGAAGAGCAGACTGCGTAAGTTTTGTACATGTGGACCTCTTACAAATTACATTGGTGCCTGAATAGCTGTAAAATGGCCTGTCATTTTCATTTCTTGAAGGGAGTGTTTGGGACTTTATGTACAGTAGTTGCTGAAATGGTTTTTCAAATGGAATGATTTTGGTGTTTCTTTATTTTGTATAGCAGCATTCTTCAGTTTTAAGTTCTTTGTTTTACTTTACCTCTTTTGTTTCTGTCTGTCTCTCTTACATTTTCCCAGCACTAAATGACCATTTTTGTGTCAATGTGCTGCTTTTTACTCGGACAAACAATAAGTTCCTTTTCATGGTTTAAGCTTTGAGTCACTTTTTATGTCTTATGTCTGAGACTAGGTACAACAGTAGTATGCACTCATAAAAAATGACCATCCTAAATTGTCCTCAAATCCTGGCAGTGTTTTGTGTTCAGTCTAGCGGACAGAATATGAGTGAGCCAATGACTTCTTTATAAGTATAAGCGGAGGTGAAGGATGTGTTAACTTCTTGCATGAAAGTTTTTCCTCTTTAACAGAGATTACACACTACACAACAGCTTGCTGGCATTCTGCAAAGTTTGGTCTCAGTAAAGTTATTATGAGAGTGGACCAGGGCGGAGCGAAAGCAGTGGAGTGGCCTCTCGGTTAACATAAATTGGCTGATCCTAACACTGGTAGATTTAAATGTGAATGTCAAAAGCACAAATCTACAAATCTAGGCGACCGTGAAACCAACACCATTGTTAACATGTGATGGGGGATTTAACTCTTTGAACCCTTCCGGCAGTAATAACCCTGTTCCCGATCGGACGCTGGGAGTGCCTGATACTAGTGACAACTGTTTTGTTTCATTTATTGCTAGTTTTTGCTTGTTTTTCGGAACTATTCCTGAACCAAGTTCTTTAGTAAGCCTTTGATTCCACCATTTAAAATAGATGTTGGAAGCAAGCTTTTGGGGTTATAATGAGACAGGGTGCACCAGATTTAGGCGACTGTAGAAAAAACTCAGTGAAACGGTGGAAAAAACTCAGGGTTTAAAGAGTTAATTCATTTTTACAATGCCTACTTCTATGTGCGTGCAGCTCAACACGCTTCACAAAATTAAAGTACAAATTATACATAATAAAATAATTGTAATTCATGGAAAATTTGGACCCATTTGTCAAACTTTTATTTATCTTTCTTGATTTGGCCTGAAATTCGTCCTGTACATAACCAAAAGATTTTCATGTTCTGCCATCTTTCTATATACTATGTGCTTCAAAGATTTTATTTGACAAGGGTTGTCCACCCGCTAGACTGGCTGATGAGTGGGTGGCTTACTTTTCTTTATCTCTCTTGTTACTGTCTGCCTAGCTTGCTTTTTTCCTGTAGTAAAGTGAAATGCTGCTGTCATGCTTGTATAATACAATGTATTGTGTGCTATCCTGTACTCAAAGTCAGATAAAGGGGTTCTGTCTTGTGCTAAGCACATGGAAGATATAAAGAGCTTCAATGGTAACTTACCATTATTTTAAACCCCTCTTAATTCCTTTTATACGGTCCCCTAGCCCTGATGGAATTCAAAGGAAAGAATACACTCTTCTGTTCCCATGTTGTAACTCACCCTTATCAAAGACAAGCTGGGCAAGTTAACAAATGAAAGCCCTTCTGACCAACAGTGGCAGTTTGAGAAATTTGTTGATCATGTTTGTGTCAAAATAATCCATACCCCCCCGAGGCGGTGCTACTGACTGAAGGGTCCGTAGGCCATTCCCAAAGGGGGGACATTAACCTGTTCTTATCCACAGTAGAATTGTAAATATGGGCCGATTCATCGATGTCATGCTCATAACTGTACTTGAACTGCAACAGAGAATTGCTGCTTTTTCTTTCCTAATCCTATATGGTCTTTTTTCCTCTGCTTCTTTTGTATGTTTGTCACACTCTTGTGACCCGTTATTTCCGGGGTGCCTTGATTGTCGGAGCAGACTTTGTGCTGTTGAAGCTAGAAAGGTGAGCTGAGTAAGTCTGAGTCCCTGTAAGGACTTCCCTGTTGACATCCACCCCTTGGCGCTCATATGACCTTATGCAGTTGCAAACGCCGTAAAACCTCTACTAAAACTAAAATTAAAAATAATCCATCCATGTTTTCGTATTTGTTCTCATCCTCAGGTCAAGAGAAAAACAGAGCAGAAAGACTCCTAAGAAGGCAAAAGGAAAGAAAGCTCTTGGCCTGGGCAAAAAGGCATCGGGTGGAAGGACAGGTGGTGGAAACAAGAAGACCAGAGGGAAGAGAAAGAGATGATTATAAATTGTTGGGTTTATTACATAAATAAATGTAGAGAATCATAGCACTGTCGTTCAAGGTTTTGTCTTGTTTTTCTGTCTGTTTTGTTTTGTAAATATTCTTACGGTAAGTAAAATTTAACTTCACCACATATATCTTGACTTTGGCTCCTGTTAGAAACTGAAGAAATACTTATATGGTATAACACGGATAGCTCGAATTCGTTTGAACTGGCCTTGATAGTTCGGGGGATCCGTAGTTCGAGAGATATGGTGTCTTACAAAGATAAAGAAGAAAGAAAAAATGGGACCGTAGGCACAGTTTGACGGATGCGTGATTTCAATTCTTCCGTGTTCGACCTATCCGTGTTATACTGTATATCTCTAACCATTGTGGCTATTGTGTTTGCGATGTCTACTTGTGTTTCAGCTGTGGTTCCAACCAGCCTCTGGACGTGCCGAATGGTGTCTGCGTCTACCCAAGAATTTGTTAGCAAATTTGAAAACTTGGTTGAGTGGTGTCTGGCTGCTGATTTTGGAGGTGTATTTTTTTAATGATTGTCTTTTGCTCTCCCTACGTACCTCAGCTCGAGCCTTTAAATAATGTATCTTGTTTTCTGTGGTGATGTTGTTGGCGGCTTTTCGATACGCTGCCTTCTTTTTCTTTACTGCATCCTCGCATTCCCAAGAGAACCAGATCTTGTTCCTCCGGGGTTTTGTTTTTATTTTTGGTATGTGTTTTTGGCATATTTTTAAAAGCTTTTCGTGGAATTTATTGTAGTTGTGGTCGAAAGTGGGGTTCAGAATCTGGGAGCATTGATTGGCAAACCAGTCTGCTTTTTTGAAGTTGAAACGTTCTGGGGTCGGGTCGTTTCGGAGCCTATTGTTTTTTAGAAGAATTGGGAAATGGTCCGTACGACGATCATTCAGCACAGACCACTCAAGATCTGGGACTAGGTCAGGGGTACAAAAGGTGAGGTCAAGGGATGAAGTGCTATAAGTGGCTCTGTTTCTGTAAGTTGGGGACTTGTCATTTAAGAGACAGATGTTATTTTGAAATTTTATAAAAAATTTATTATTTTTCCTTTCTGGTCTGTAGGTTTGTCTCCCCAAAGGGGGCTGTGGGCTTTGAAATCACCTAGCAAAATAAAGGGTTTTGGAAGCTGAGCCTTTAAGTCATTTAGTTGGGTTATTTTGAGAGGGTAATTTGGTGGGATATAAACTGAGCAGATCGTGATTGGTCTGTGCAGGGTGACCCGTACGGCAATAGCCTGGATGGTCGTCTTAAGATGTACTTGTCTGTGGAGTGTGTTGTTGTCAGTGTAGATGGTGGTACCACCGGAAGCAATCTGGTTCTCCATGTGAATGTGATGATATGCAGTAAATCCTCTTCAGTCTATCTATGGTTGAAGCTGGGACGAATTTTGTTTCTTGTATACAGACCACAAGTGGGCACAGTGTGGCCAGTATGTGTTGCATTTCTGCAATGGAAGGTCGGATTCCGCCGGCATTCCATTGCAAGACCGCCAGTATGATTTTTTAGTTTTTATTTTGGAGCTCGAAGGCCCCGACTTTGAAGAAACACTTTGACTCCTCCTTGCGGGGGAGGTAGAGTGTTTTCTAGGTTGCCGTCCTGGATTGGACCGCGGTCTAGTGGGAGATTTGGAGGAGGCCTTTTTGTTCTTAGGCACAGAGATTTGCCTGTTGACCGCGGGCTTTGGGAGGTCGGCAGTAGAATTACCTGCCGACCTCGTGACCACCTGGGCTGCCTTTGAATACGACCGGCCAATGACTGGGGTTATGATTGGCGGGCAGACAACCTTACGGGCCTCCTGGAAGGAGCAGCCATTTCGCGCCTTGTATTCTTGGATGGCGTGTTCTTGGAGCCAAGTCGGGCACTCCTTGCTGAAAGCTGTGTGCTGGCCGTGGCAATTGGGGCAACAAGGACTAGCCTTGCATTCCTTCTCAGGATGACCGATCTTGCCACAACGAGGACACACGGCTTCTTGACGGCACCGTGACTGGCTATGGCCGAACTTCTGACACTTGAAACAGCGCAGAGGGTTCGGCACATAGGGTCGTACGTCGAGTAGTAGTAATCCGGCGGGCTCCGACCACTCCCTCACAGTGCTCCACAATTTCTTCCATGGAGCAGCCTTTCAGTTCATGGCTGCGGACGACGCCCTTCGAGCAGTTAATTATCTGGTAGCGCTCTGACCCACATAGAACACCGCCGAAGGTTGTGGTATCCAGGAGTTTGGTCACTTCGTCTTCAGTTGCGCACTTGACGAGGAGTACACCAGATGACAGCTTCTGGACATTCGTAGGAATGTATCCCAGAACCTGTCGTAGTGCATCTCCCGTCTTGAACAGATTCAGATCAGTGATCTTCTTCCGTGTGTCTGCTTTGCAGCTGATGGCCACGCAAGGCTGCTTCGGAAGCTCCCTGGGAGAAGGGAGAAAAGAGGCAGACGTAAAGGTCCTTTTTCCTGATTTTGAATTTTTGCTTCCGCGAGCCGAGACTTTTTGTTAACGTTGGGAGCTGGCTGGGGAAGGGTCTTTTAAAAAAATTTAAATTCCGTATGAAATTTATGGTTGATTCGACTCCGGGGCTCCCCGCCCGCCACGGGGACACATTGCTCGGATAACCAGAGCTGTGCCAGGGCTACCCCGGAGCTATACTCTCAACGAGAAAGTACAAGACCCTTCCGTCGAGATTGACCCAGGGCTTAATGGGGTTTCAGCTCTCAACCGATTGAGTGGCATGGGTCGTGCCACCCTCCCGTCTAAGAGGAAAACCTGGGCCAAAGAGGTGTGTTGGCAAGGGACAGCCCGTGGACTGATCTCACCTCAACCGCCAGGTACCCGGTTTCCCTCCGCACGGGTCGCACCTCACGTTCAACGAGGCGCCCACTCTGTGGGATGGGTGACCTCTCTTTTTACTGCACTTGAGGTCAGCGGTGGGAGAAAAGATAGAAGAAGAAAGAAAGAAAGAAGGAAGGAGAAGAGGAAGATACACCAAAGTAAGTGTCGCACACGGATCCCAGAGGGTTGGGGTCCGTGTGCGACACTCCGCCTTTGACTACTTTGAGGGGGTTGCACCTTCTGCAGACGAAGCAGTGGGTCTATTTATATCCCCCGACCCACTGGGGGTAAAACAATAGAGCAAACAATCTATTTCGATTGCAGAGACACCTGTTCAACGTCACCGTCATATTCTCATTCTCTCTCATTCTCTCACTCTCTCACTCTCTCGCTCTCTCGCTCTCTCTCTCTCTCTCTCTCGCGTTTGTTCACATTGGTATCACGGTAAATGCACACCGGCTGAGAATAGCCAATAGGCTCTCTCTCCCATCCCCCGAAAAAGAGACAACACTCGCAGTCCGCACTTTGAGTCTCACAGTGAGGTATGATTCAGCATGAGTGTCTGTGCGTGTGTGTGTATGTGTGTGAATGTGTACGTATGTGTGTGGGGGGGAGGGAGGGAGTGTGTGTGAGAGAGAGTGATACAGAGAGAGAAAGAGAGACAGTGACAGACGTACAGACAGAGAGACAGACAGACAAAGAGAGAAAGCGTGTGTGCCATTGCAAAATACCTTATCGCTACAGCAAAGACACCTTATATCTCGTAAATGTTAATGTTCAACACCCCCATCTGCTTGACATTGATCATTTATGAGGCAGGCTGTGCTGCTCCTGCCTGTCAATCATGGCCAACGAGGACACAGGAATACAGTATCCCAGCAGACAGAACAAGATACAAGATACAAGATTTTTAAAAACTCTTTCCATTCAAAAATCAAACTCAAGTCTACTGAGTGCCAAGGCAAAGAGCCTAACTTCTACACGCGACTCTGGTAGGCCTACATCTAATTAAACATGAATAAAAAGAAAGCACAAGATAAAGTGGAAGACCTATATATATATATATACATATATAGTCTTCCACTTTATCTCGTATATATATATAAATAATATGACCGTATATATATATATGAATAATATGACCCCGAGGTACAACGTGCATGCAAAAATGAGCAATTACTTTTGACATACAGTGTTATTAATTGGGAATAGCCAAGAAGAGATAAAGAGTTTTAAAAAACACCCCAAGTAACATCCGATGATGGCAATGAAAATGATCATGAAAACTGAAAAGGGACTTTGAGTGAAGAGAAGCCTTTTGAAACAAAATAACTTCGATTCAGATGAGAGAAAAAGTAAGACAGACAGAAAGAAATGGCAGAGGAAAGGAAAGAAGTTGGACCTACTATTTGTTTGTTTGTTTGTTTGTTTGAGTAGGTGTTTTACGGCACTCTCGATTCAGTTTTGTTCATATGACCTACTTCTAGGGGCGCTCTCCAATCACTCATGATAAAAAGAGGAATGAACATGAATACCTGCGTTTAATACAAACAAATAACTAGTAAGATAAATTCCACACAGTAAATTTATTAAACATGTTTTTCTGCTGCCCGCACAAAAGGAGCTCTGCACAGTTCTGAAAAGTCCAAAAAGACAGGTAAACTGACATACCTAGTACATAATAATATCAATGACAGTTCAGACAATCTTTTTACGCCTTCAATCATGCCGCTGTCACTGAAACTTCTCCCTCAGACAAACTAAAAAGTGTTCTGAGGGGTCAACAATAAGCGGCCAGATGTAAGTCATTATATGAGGCCTAAGAGTCAACAACGAGGGGTCGGAGTTAATTCAAGACATGAATAATTAATAAAGGGTCAACAACATGGGGTCGGACAAACGGTAAATTTCTAAAAGTTAGTAAAAGGTCACCAAGCAGGGCCGGACTGAAGTCAGGACATGAGTCCTGAGGGTCAACAACGAAGGATCGGACTAAAGTTAAATTTATAAATGGTCAATAACAAGGCATCGAGGCTAAGACATGAGTCTTGAGGGTCAACAAAGTGGGGTCGGACTAAAGAAAAAGTTATAAATTGTCTACAAAGAGGGATTGGAGCTAAGTCAAGACATGAGTCTTGAGGGTCAACAGCGTGGGGTCGGACAACAGAAAAAGTTATAAATTGTCTACAAAGAGGGATTGGAGCTAAGTCAAGACATGAGTCTTGAGGGTCAACAACGTGGGGTTGGACAAAAAAAATCAACATTAGGAGTTGGAGGTAAGTCAAGACATGAGTCCTGAGGGTCAACAACGTGGGGTTGGACTAAAGGTAAATTTATAAACAGTCAACAACGAGGGATAGAGGCTAAGTCAAGACACGAATCCTCCTGAGGGTAAACAACATGGGGTCGGACTAAAGGCAGAGTTATAAATTATCAATAACAAGGGGTAGGGGTTAAGTCAAGACATGAATCTTGAGGGTCAACAACGTGGGGTCGGACTAAATGATCAATATTAGGGGTTGGAGGTCAGTCAAGACATGAGTCCTGAGGGTCTACAATGTTGATTGATTGATTTGATTGGGTAGATGTTTTACGGCACTATCGACACAATTGGTCTACAATGTGGGGTCGGACAAAAGGCAAAGTTATAAATGGTAAACCAAAAGGGATTGGAGCTTAGTCAAGACATGAATCTTGAGGGTCAACAACATGGAGTCGGATTAAAGAAAAAGTTATAAATTATCAATAATGAGGGGTAGGGGTTAAGTCAAGACATGAATCTTGAGGGTCAACAACATGGGGTGGACTAAAGGTAAAATACTAAAGGGTCACCCAGAGGGGGCAGACCAAAGTCAAGACATGAGTCCTGAGGGTCAGCAACATGGGGTGCGACTAAAAGAAAAATCATAAATGGTCAACAACGAGGGGTCAGAGCTTAGTCAATAGGGTCAACAACGTGGGGTTGGATTGAAGGTCAAATTCTAAAATGTCACCCAGAGGGTCAACAACGAGAAAAAGGATAAAAGGCACAGTTATATAAACAGTCAACAACGAGGGGTTGGGGGAAGTCAAGACATGATTCCTGAGGGTCAACAACGTGGGGTCGGACTAAAGGCAAAGTTTTAAATTATCAATAATGAGGGGTAGGGGTTAAGTCAAGAAATGAACCTTGAGGGTCAACAGCAAGGGGTCGGACTATAGGCAAAGTACTATGGTCAACAACGATGGGTTGGAGCTTATTCAAGGCATGAGTCTTGAGGGTCAACAACGTGGGGTCGGACTAAAGGCAAAGTTATAAGCGGTCAATAACGAGGAATTGGGGTTAAGTCATGACATGAATCTTGAGGGTCAACAACGTGGGGTCGGACTCAAGGTAAATTTCTAAAGGGTCACCAAGAGGGGTTGCAGGAACGATCAGCAATGAAGGATGGGAGGTAAGTCAAGACACGAGTCCTATGGGTCAACCACGACGGGTCGGACTAAATGTAAAGTTCGAAAGGGTCACCAAGAGGGGGAGGACTGAAATCAAAACATGAGACCTGAGGGTCAACAACGTGGGGTCAGAATAATAATAACAACAATGCTGATCATTTCTATAACACCCACTCACGTGTGAACACAGCTTTAGGCGCTTTACATGTACAAACTATTTTCCCACTCGCATACGTGCACACGCACACACACACACACACAATCACGCACACACATCTACTTGCTTATCACACGTTACAAAATGAGCACATACAAATACATAATAAAATAATATACACTATGCAATTCGCAAAATACATAAATGGATACATAGTTATTTACATAAACATTGTATTGAACATGAATCTACTGACATAATGATTTCATTAAATGTGTCTTTAAAGATATTTTAAATTTAGACTCAGATGCGTATGTCTCAAGGGTTGGGGAAGAGAGTTCCAAACTGATGGAGCAAGGAAGGCAAACGATCTGTCAGCTAATTTTTTTTACCTCCCTTTCTGGGACTCA